CTGGCAGCCTCCTCCGTAACAAGGATGAGGCTCTCGCCGCTCACATCTATCAACACGTTCCCACCTTCTCCCAGGCGCAAGCGCTAGGGAGGAGCGAGACAGGTCTCCTCTGAACAGCCTCGCAGAGGAAGGCGCATACGCCTTCAGACCACATTTCGGCATTTCTCCTCCCACAATTCCTTGGCAATAGGAATTTGAGCCCTTTGGCTGATTTCCTGCATATCGGAGCAGGACAATACAACCTGGTCCGTGAGTCCAGTAGGTCTGAACGTGAGAATAGCTCCTGCCCACATACAGCGCAGCACTACAGCCCCTCCCGCGCATAGGTGGTTATAACAAGAACTGGTGTATTAAACTGTTTTATCATAGAATAATAGAATGATTTGGGTTGGAAGGGACCTTAAAGATCATCTAGTTCCACTGCCCCTGACATGGGCAGGGATGCCGTCCACTAGACAAGGTTGCTCAAAGCCCTGTCCAACCTGGCCTTGAACACTCCCAGGGAGGGGGCATCCACAACTTCTCTGGGCAACCTGTTCCAGTGCCTCACTACCCTCACAGTAAAGAATTTCTTCCTAATATCTAATCTAAATCTACCCTTCATGCAACTATTCAAAGTCCGATTGTTTCTTCACTCTAAACCCCATCCTAAACCACTTTTGCGCATCCTTTTTGGTATATCCCAAATTCTTTCTGGTCTCAGCCACTGATGGTATTTACTCATTAATTCACAGTTTTTACAGTAATGAGGTTGTGCAATGTAGCAAACAGAATTGCTCTGGGACGCAGGAGATCTGGGTCCTATTTTTAGCCTGCCGCTGGTCAGCCTGGTGACCTAGGCAAGGCACTTTCCCTGCTTCAGCTTCCTTATCAGGGAGAGACTGGTATTTCTTTTGTGAAGTGTTTTGTGGCCTGTCAATAAAACACACACTGATAACAGCCAGGGGTTGTTGGGAAAGGGGCAATCTCCCAGCTGAATACAATCCTCTCCTTTCCGTGTTGCGGTAGCATCTTATAGGGTCCCAAACGAAAAATCAGACCCACACTGCAGACACAGCACCTGTGGGTAATGAGCAGCAATTCCTAAATGCATTTTTTTCCAAGGTGGCCCTTGGCAGGTCCGCAGCTGAGTTGCATCTGCTCTGAGACACCCAGGTCCTGCCCCGACACAAAACGCTGGGCTCTGAACCTCTCCTTTAAGAGAGGTTTATTTGTCCTTTAACTGGTCATTTCAAAGCCAGTGGAGATCTGAAGCCCCCACGATACAGCTTATCAAGATGCACCCGTAGCACACACGGCTCCAGAGCCAGCCTTCCCGGGGACGGGACGTGGAGTAGTGACCGGCTTTTCTCACCGCTGTGCGCAGTCCTCATCCCTGAGCAACCCTGCCTGGCGAGGAAGGAAGAAATTGCCGGCGCCATGAGCGAGGGTCCCTCTCTGTGAGCAAACAGGGCACTTGAGAGATCGCTTATGAGAGTTTTTCACTGTTGCTTTCCCTGGCCTGGGCAGAATGACTGTTTTGAAACTAGAAGGCAAAAAAAATAATAAAAATCTGCCTCCCTCCCTCCCAGATATATCTATTTCCCTTTGACAAACAGTGATTTCATTTTTCTTCCCGTCCAGGATTTTTTTTTTTTTCTCTTTTAAACTGAGCCCAAGCCAACGTGGCAAAAGGCTCTTTGCTCATGTCCTTATTTGTCAAACACGCCATCGCCGCGCCCTCACCACCATTCTGGGAACAAGCCCTCGCCTTCGCCATCTGACTTCAGCTGAAGGGGAACTTCCCAACACAACTGTCCCCCAGCCCCAACACACTCTTTTTTTAAATGAACATTTCCTTTTCTTTTTTTATTTTTGAAGTATTACAGTTAATAAGAAAAGAGTTTAAATTTCCTTCCGCTTTCCTCCCCAGCCCTGCTGTGAATCCGAACATGACGTATCTAGATGGGAAGACAGAAATTACAAGAAAATGCCAGATCTATTGCAAAGGTATTTCACAACCCAGTCCTCCTCTGATTTCCATCAGAGCATAAGCACCTCAAGGGAAGTCAGATACTAAAGTACCTTTTTGGATCTGATCCTAAGTGGCCAGTTCCACTGTCCAAATAGAGATCCAGAGATAAACAGGCCTATGAAAACTGGGCATTATTATTTTAACTGCTGCTCTTAAGCTACAACTTAAACTGTAATAATCTGTGCAGCTTTTAGCTGTCTGCTAACAGTAACGCATGAAATGATAATAAACTAAACATATATATTCTGCTGCCCTCATCAACTTAACACCTAGTATAAAAAGCTTTACCTGGAGCCACAGCACACATATTTCATAAGCTGTCATCAGCACTCTGCCATCCAGAAAGAAATTTCTATTGTAAAGGGGCTGATTTTCTGGAGCAGATAAATTTCAAACCCTGGAGTAAATCTGGAGGGCTCGCACTGGGTCTGCAGGGGCCGAACCACCCCAGGCAGCAGCCTCAGATCTGGTCCATGCTCAGGAACGGGGTCATCGGCTCCAGCACTTACATTTAGCAACGGGGAAACTGAGGCATGGAAATGAAGTGTTCTGGCATCAGAAAGCAGAATCAGGCTTGGCTTTAGTTTGTTGGATCAGGCTCCAACACATGCTCATGAGATCCTTGCCTTCAGGCAACCATGTCCTGAGGGCTGAGAAAGGATTCACAGCAGAAGGAACACAAGCCGCCATTTGTTCCACTCCTTCAGCGCAGGAACCTCCGTCTGCAGTCATGGAAATGATTGTGTTCAATGCACAATGGCATCGAGCAGCTTTCTCTATCGCCACCTACCCTTTTCCCTCATCTCTCGGGCCTTACATCTTGCTTCAGCATGGCTTTTGCTGCTCCTGCAAGATAAGGAGCTGATCTTGCAACACGAGACCCCGCCGGCTCCTGACTTAGCCCTGGCTTTTGTCTGCTCCCAATCTCCTTCAGAGGATGGAAGGGAAAAGAAAGGGGAAAAAGGTGACAAGAGAGCACAGATTAAAGGCAGGGACCTGCATTTGCTGCGTAGAGTACATCTGGGGGTGGTGACAGGCAGGAGTGCTGGGGTACAACTGGTAGGCTTGCCTTCCTCCGAACGGGATGCCACATGAAGGAATCTCGCTCTAACCAAGCTCCTGCCAAAACCCAACGCTGTGAACACGGCTCCAGCCCCAGCTTCCCAAAGCCAGAGAGAAAGGGTGTGACAAATAGCAATTTCATGAGCTCAGCAGGGAAGAGCTGTCCCGTCAGGTGGTTCTACCACGGGGCACATCTTTGGACCCATTGCAGGAGGGAGGAATGAGGACCTGAAGACACGAGCCCCTTCCAATAAACACAGCGAGGTCCCCTCCTTGGGCGACTTGGCAAGGGGGAAGCCTGACCCCGGAGAAGCACGTGAGGCACCCCGATCCCTTCCTGCTGCCCAGGCTCCTGCGCAGGCAGCCGTGCAGGCAGCACCCTGCCCTCGCCGGAAGCCTGCTGCTTCGCCACTTCCCAGGGCGGTCTGGAACCTCCCCTGCTCCCACGGGGTCCACTCTTCTCGGAGAGATAAGAGACAGAACAACACTTGCTGGGGAATTACTTCATTCCCCCAAGGCTGGGAAAAGCCATGCTCCGCACTTGGCTAATGTCCTTGACGGCTGCAGCCTTTCCTGGCAAGGGAGAACGCAATCCTCATTAACCCCTTCCCTCTCGAAGGCTGCTTGTAACAGCGAACCCGTTGCAGGAACACACTGAGACTCTGTGATAGCGTCTGAACATCTCACCACAGGCAAGAGATCACAGGAAGCCCACGAGGGAGGGACATGTTTTCTTTTTACAGAGGCACAAAGTAGATGAATTGACTCTAGAGTTTGTGGCGGGGTCGGGAACTAAGTCAGGTCTCTTGAATCCTGTTTAATATCTGCCCGCTAGCCTATTCTCAGGTTCAAATCCATTGAGGGACACAGGACTGCCACAACCTTCCAGGGTCATCAAGAGCAGCCCCATGGTTGTGTATATGCGGTTACACAACTTTCATCAGCCTCAAACCTAGATCACGCTCACTTTGCTCTCACTACTCCTCCCAGAAGGCTCTTCCAGACCTTTGCAGCCTCAGTGCTTAGAAACTTTCCGAACACCAGCATGAAGGTACTTCTGGCAAGCTCAGCCTCTCCCGTTCCTGCACCAACACTCACCCAGAGCTGAAACAGTTGTTCTTCTCTGGTGCTTATTCCCCAAACGTATTTGAAATTTGCAACCATACCCCGCCCCCAGTCTTCCTTTTGCTCAGCTAACAAGCCAAACTCTTCTGGTCTCCACTGGCAAGATCAGCTCCTTACTCCTTGATCACCTTGACAGCCTGTCCCTGCAGTCTGAATACATCTCTCCTGAATGTGCCTGAGCAAACGCAACAGTACCCAGCACTCCAGGCAAGCCGGCGATGTCTGCACAAAGGTGTTCATACTTTTCAAAGGTGTTCAAGGTACGTCCGTAACCACACAGAACATGCCATCATCACCTGATGCATCTTAGGAGTTGCACTCTCATCCAAGATGGCAAATCTAGAGGATCCAAGCCAGCAAAAAGGGGGTGAAAAGGGTCTCAGTGACATCACTGGAGCCTGGGCCAGGGCTTATTTGCTTCCCTTAATTTTAGGCATCTAAACAAATCACTTTTAGGATCAAATTACCGCCCTAAAGTCTCTCCACAGTCCATGGAAGGAGATGGCCCTTCCAGAAAACAATTCATTCTGGGAAGGTTTCACTCCCATCCGCCAACACAAGGACATAAGGCAATTAGTCTTCCAGTTCAAGACGGATGGGAAAAATCCTTTAATAGCCCAGCAAGTTTTGAACGGAAATATTCCCTACTTGGGAAACACTGCTTGCTAAAGCTGATTTGGTTGTTCCTGACACATGATTTCTAACCACAGCACTTTGCCACCTCATTTTATTATCATTCATTCATTTCCAGAATTTTTGGATCAGTTCTGCACAAACAATAAAATTCTCGTCTTCTTACCTGCACATTGAAAGTAACATCATCCAGAGGGGGTGGGGGGGGAAAGGCACCTTGTGATGATGTGATGTTCCCGAGGTCATCCACAGGAGGTGGGGGTGGAGGAAGGAAGTCCCCTAGGAGAGAGAATGGGAGAACTTAGACTCACCAGCATTTCCCCACATCATGACATGGATGATCAGCATGAACCCTGCAATACTCACAGCTCTGCCATCGGTTTTGTGGCACAGAAGTAACATATCGTTTAGCCATTAAATGCTCAGCTGCACCCCTTGCTGCTTCAGGAGATGGCTACGACAGCTCAGTAATATTGGCAGATTTCTTAGAGTTGCTTAGACCCCGCAGCAGAAGGTGACTTGCCACAAAGCCTGAAGGCACCAACAACCAGCTCCACAGATCGAAGCTTGCATCTCAAACCTGCCGCAGGCAGCTACAGAACTTGCAATAATGAACACCCCACATCCAGCCTTGCGATGGATCCCATCCAATTCACCCCCCTTGTGGGCTTATGCTTGATCACTATAAAAGATAGCATCAGATGCTGTCTAAAAGCAGGGATTCCCTGTCGCAGAGGACACATGGAGGGCTGGAGCTGGAGCCCACAATCTAGACCAGCGCATCTCCTGCATCCCTGCTGCTGGCAGGCAGCCACGCTCTTTACATCTCCCTCTTCCTACAGGGGCCTCATAGCTTCATGTAAAGAACTGCTGGGAAGATCACAGGCTATTCTCAGTGACAACAGCCACATGATGGGCCAGTTGCAAGCTCAGAAGCATCCACCTCTTTTAACTCTGAGGAGGCTTTTTACATGCACTGATGTACAAAATATCTACACTTTAATTTGCCCGTCTTAAGCTTCCAAAAGTGCCGATGTGAAGACAAAGCAGTATACTGGCTATGAAGCCATCCAGCTTAGCATAGAGATGGGAGACCTCTCCTTGAGAACTTCATGAGAGGTGGGAGCACAAAGGAGAAAACAAGGACAGAGCAGCACAGGCTGCGGGCAGCAGGACACCAGGCGCTGAAAGCACCTCCTAAGGATGGAAAAAAGGGCGTTTGCCATTAGCACTGGATTTGGCTGCTGGGGAGGCAGCTGCCTGTAATTTGGACCAATTTGGTATATTTTTATTTCTTCTCATAAAGCTTGATGCTGCAAGTAGAGCTGTTTGCTGTTGGCTTTCCTGTGTGCAGCATCTGGGATGGAAGTTCAAGATGAATAAAAGTATGACATTTCACGTACATAGGAACTGTTGCTTTTGGAGGGTTTTAACCCTTTTGGGAGGAAAGATGGGCTCCCTACTTGACCCTCCACATCTCCATGCAATGCCACACCGCCTCCCAGCTACAGGCCCTCAGCGCCATCCCCAAATACCAAGGAGTAGGCTCCAAACCGCTGAGAGAGGTGCTGAGCCAACTCCCAGCGACCCGCAGTCCTCTGGAGCACCCGTGCCCAGGTCCAAAGCCCCGGGCTCAGCCCGCCCCAGACACGGGCACTGGCTGGGCAGCACTGCCAGCATGGCACCTTCGTGCTATTTGCCGTGGGAAGCAGATGGGTCTGCAGCCCTGGAAAGCTTTTCTGTTAGATTTCAAGTCGCTCTCTGAAAGGCACAAATTCCCCCTAGGACTTTCAGGGATCTTATTTCCCAGGAAAGTAATTTCTTCCCATTTTCCCCAAAGTGAGCGTTGATAGGACTCAAAAAAACCCCTCTGAATCCCTAAGAAAGTATCATCCTAAATACAGATGCACGAAGACAGTTCAAAAACAACACACTGAAAACTAATTTAAGACAACCATGTTGTTCCAATACATAAAATCCTGTGAAACCTACTGGCTCATGATATTATAGAGTTCAAGATTGATTTTTAAAAAAAATTATGTCCAATAACATCTGCAGCATCCTCCTCTTTGCTCTATAATTAATCCAATCTTTTGTTTCATATCATATGAAATACAATACAGAGTAAAAAGAAAAGAAGAAATATTTTGAAATTAATATCTTGGTGTTTAGTTCTAAAAAAATGCTCAGATGTTTGAGTGCTAAGTAAACTTTTCTCCTTTGCTCTGAAAATGACCCTCCAACCAACCAACGTGATTTTGCAAACAAATTCAACTCCAGCAGACACATACTTCCCAAAGAATACACTTCAGATGATGTTTCTCCAGTTAGTCCCGGCTCCAATGCCAAAGACTCATCTCCCTGCACAGCACATTAGTCAGACACCCTTGCTTTATTACAACCCTTCAAAACACCTAAGCAAAATCGAGGTAGAGAATGTGTTGAAGGGGATGAGACAGGGAAAGGGACAGGGTTTGTGCATAAACAGAAGGGAAAATAACAACTGCTGTAACAGAAGGGGAAAACAATGATTGCTAGAACAAACACAAAACAAATACTGTTTTGCCCCTTTGGAAGATCCATTCCTCCCAAACGAAAAAAACATTGGCAAGATTTTTCAGAGAAGGAGCAAAGGACAGAAACAGAGAAGAGCCCTTTTCTAGGGTTTGGAAGAAAACACTTTTCTTTGCAGTAGGAGACAGCTGGCTTTACCGCATCCCAGCCCAGCTCTGCTGCCTCTGTCCTCTGTGTCAGATAAGCTGCTGGCTCTGCTCTCCCCACAAATGGGAAGGATTTTAGACTGGGAAGCAAAGAGCAGATGCCTGATGAACTGGGGGGACCTTGCAGATGTTTGGCCTTTTCCTGGTCCTCTGCGAACAGATGGACTTTTCTCCTTCACAGCTTTAGTTATTTATTCCGCCACTGCACTTTCCTCTTTCCCACACACAGTCATAGGACCCAATGCTGTTCCCACTGCACTTGCAGGAGAGTATTCCCTCGGATGCAGGAGGGAAAGCTGTTACTGTATTATTATTATTATTATTGTTGTTGTTATTATTATTATTATTATTGGCATTGCTGGAAGTCTCCCTCTGGCAGAGAGGGAAGCAGGCATGCACTTGCAAGTATTCCCTCGGATGCAGGAGGGAAAGCTGTTACTGTATTATTATTATTTATTGTTGTTGTTATTATTATTATTATTGGCATTGCTGGAAGTCTCCCTCTGGCAGAGAGGGAAGCAGGCAAAGACTGTAAAATCTGTGTCCTGAGCAGCGTATGGTTTTAGATGATGTGTGGAAGAAACAGGTCTACGTTTGAGGGAGTAAAGGAGGAAAAAAAGCCGAAAGCAAGCTTACACTCCCTTTAAGCAGGATCTCCTTACAATGCACCTCGGGGACCTCTCCTCACCCCCAAAGTCTCCCTCTGGCAGAGAGGGAAGCAGGCAAAGACTGTAAAATCTGTGTCCTGAGCAGCGTATGGTTTTAGATGATGTGTGGAAGAAACAGGTCTACGTTTGAGGGAGTAAAGGAGGAAAAAAAGCCGAAAGCAAGCTTACACTCCCTTTAAGCAGGATCTCCTTACAATGCACCTCGGGGACCTCTCCTCACCCCCAAAGCTTTGCAAGCCAGACAGATTTCACTTGCTTAGAGCCAGGCAAGCCATGGGAGGAGGCAGGAAAGTCCATGTGCAGGCAGAGCATATCACTGCTGCCCACTGCTGACCACCTCCAGCGCCAGCCGGCTACATGGGGAGCCGTCTGGGAAAGGGACCCGTCCCCTGGTCCACATGGATGCACCGGCAGCCACGGGGGAAATGGGGCTCTGGGGTTACCAGAGTTAACCATGGGCTGATGGAGGACATGTCCCACCCTGAGCACTCACCCTCTCCTGCCTAATTTAACCCCGCTGCCCCTCCGTGAATAAGGGATACGATGGGCAAAAGGCTTATTAGTATTGATTGCTGCTCAGCACCGAGATTGGCATTTTGGTTGACATTCACCTGGCATCAGCCTGAACACTTGGAGGTACTTAAGTTATAAGAGTGACCGAGCTCCATCAATGGAGAGACATCAAGGCACCTCCAGGAGGCAATTTCTACTTCAAGGAAGGTGAAATGGCCTTCCAACGGCAAGTTCCCCCACAGAGGCAGCCTGGGGCAGGCACGTTTGCAGGCAGGGAGCCGCATCCTGCCCCTCCTCGCACTGCGGCGCAGCCTGCCTTCAGCTCTCGCAATGAGAAATCTCTACCCATTACCATACATTTACAGGAGAAAATAAACACTCCTCATTGCACCAGCTACTCGTTTCTTCTTCTTACAGCTGTGAAGACCATGAGTCAGCCTACGAAGGGGCTGCGTGGAGCGACACATGCACCAGCTCGGTTATTTCAGATACGACGGCGCAACGTGCCGTGAAACCGCAGCTCTGAGCTCTTCTCTCGGCACCCGTGCCCGCTCCTGCGCTGGAGCATCACCCTGCACAACCACGAGAGATTATACTATCAGCCCCAGTAATGCTCTCCCCCATATTTTACAATCAAGTAATTAGACAGAAATTAAGTCAGTTCATCATGGCTATGTTGGGAAACTATGGCAGAGCCATAAACAGAAGTGATGCCTTCCAAGCCCCAGCCCGGCTTCTGGCTCCAATCAAATCTGTGTGGTGCACATGCATTTGCAAGGTTTTACCTCTCTTCTCCCCAAAATCTCCCCTCTTACACTTTCCAAGGAGATTTAGATGTTTCATTATTACACTTTTCAAATGTACAGATAAAAAATTGTTCAAAGCCTTAACAGATGTCTGCATCAGCACGAGCCTGTCAGGCTGAATAGAAACTCTTAAAATTTTTGCCATTGGCTGCCTGATGCCTTCTGGGTACAAGTACAAGCTGAGAAAAACATCCTGTCTCATGCACCAAGCACCTTTTTCACTTACAGTCTAACCTTTAAATTTCTAAGTGCACTTCAGTTTTTTGCAAGATCAGGCTCGTATGTCTCAAGCCTTTGTTTTCAGGGAGATATATCTGCCAGTCAACAAATGAGTTGCAGCACAGTAATTGCCTCCCCCCTTGACTGACACAGTTGTTTAGACATGAAGATTTGCAGCTTTAAAACTTCTAGACACGAAGAAGATCTCACATGTTCAGTAAGAAGAGACTGTTTGGGGGGAAAAACCCTTGGAAACACAAAAAAGCAAAACATCATATTTTTTCCCTGAAACAATAACTTCATGAAATCTATCAACCAACAAAACAGGGTTCACACTGGTCTTCCCAGATCTC